CTTTATACACGTTCTTTGATGGCCCTTCCTCTATTCTCCCCCATTATCCCTCTTCCCCCTCCCCTCTGGTTACTGTCAGTTTGTTTTTTATTTCTGTGTCTCTGGTTGTATTTTGCTTGCTTGTTTGTTTTGTTGATTAGGTTCCGCTTATAGGTGAGATCATATGGTATTCGTCTTTCACTGCCTGGCTTACTTCATTTAGCATAATACTCTCCAATTCCATCCATGCAGTTGAGAAGGGTAGGAACTCCTTCTTTCTGCTGGGTAGTATTCCATTGTGTAAATGTACCATAGTTTTTTTATCTACTTATTTCCTGATGGGCAGTTAGGTTGCTTCCAACACTTGGCTATTATGAATTGTGCTGCTATAAACATTGGGGTGCACAGGTTCTTTTGAGCTAGTGTTTTAGGATTATTAGTAAAACTTTAAAATGAAAGCTTCTGAACAAATTTTAAATAATTTAAAATCTCTTAATGTTGGACCTAAATACTCATTGTTAAATTTCACTAGTTGTGTTACTTTAATTATATGTAATGACATTTTAGTATGTGCTTAGAAGTAATGACATTTTAGTAAATACATTAATTTACATTTCTAATAATGTGCATTGGCCTTCATTTCCTTCCTTGCTGTTGTGGTTAAGAATATTTTATGAGATATTTAAAATATCTCTGATTAGACCTTTAAATTTTTGATTTAGAGTTACCATTTTCCAATTCTTTCACAGATATGATAATCATCAGAATGATAAATGGTCTGAAGTTTATCCATACTTATAAATAAACACATGTCCAGCTTATTTGGTAAAGAATGATAAGCTTTCCTCAGCCTGTAACAAAATTGGCCCTTAAAAATATGCATCAAATAAATAAGTAAATAGTAGCTGATTTGTATTATGTAAGATCCATGAGAATAGACCTTTGTATCACCTGTTATTATAACCACCTGGCATATAGTAGACCCCAGTAAGTATTTATTTCAAATTTCAAATATTTGTGTTTGAAAGATAATTTTTAAGGCATGATGCTGTAAGAACATTTAGCTCTTAAGTGTCAGTATTAATAAAACACCTTAGCCAGTTTTTGTTTAAATTGAACTATGTTAATTAATTTTTAATTAGTTAATTTTTAATTTATGTTAATTAACTTTTAATTTTTATAAGACTTATTTTCCACCTTTTAGTGATGTACTTGATTATTTTCTGAATGCTCCCAGCTTCCATAAATGTACTCTCATAGTACTGAGTGAAGGCTTCAGGTCATTGTCGATCATTGGATCAGGGGGTTTGGTGGTGGCAGGGGGTGGAAACAGCACTAATTCCTTTCCTAGGAGGCAGATCTATTCCTGGACTAATCACACTTCTGGAATATTCTTCTCTCATTCTTCACCTATATCTACTGAAACTTTATCCACCTTACTTGCTTCCTATATTTCCCATTCCTTTGTCACTTTTTTTCAGATCTCAGCATGCAGTACTTTGAAACTTTATAGTATATTTCTCTTCCTAACAATATTACCAGAAATGGAAAACTTCTTTGGTGGGAGCATTGCAGATAATATCCGGTTTCACTGCAGCTAGCTTTTAGGAAGCTCTTCTAAAGACAACTGCCTTGGGACAGGTAGAGCACCGCTTCCCAGGGAAATGGAACATAGATATCTAATGTGAAAAACTGCGGCCAAACACTCTCTACTTGCCTTTGTTTCAAGACCACACCTGGTGGACTCTGATCTTCTAGCTCTAGTTTTCCCGGCTGCTGCTCCTCCCTCTTCTGCTTTAGCTGCCTTGGCACAGTTTTCTGTTTTTCTCATCTGGGTTTATGTTTCTGGCAACTGTCTTTGGTATTCTTGAAGTATCCTTTTTTGTTTGTTTGTTTTCCCTTCAGATTTGCAATGACTTCTACCCCTTAATCTTGGCCTGCACAGTTGAAGTCCTTTCTGTGTACTAATCTAAGATGACTTCTCAGCCATTTGACCGACAAGGGGCAGACCGCCATCAGAACCCGACAATCTAAGGCTCTGTTTTGATTAGCACTTTTGTTCCCTCTGTAGGGTGAAAGGTGGGGTGACTTTTCAGCTAAAGATATAATTCTGTTTATTTAGGATTGTCGTTGCTTGAGTCAGAGCAACTTCATGGATGGCGGGACAAAAGGTTGCTCAACAGCTGCTAAGACTCTCTTTCTCAAAGCTAAAATGAAAAGCTTCCTTTCAGTAAAGTGATGTTGCAAATAATTTCAAGTAAAGACACAAACAACCACTTCCTGGGTCATTGTCAAGGCTTAGAAACAGCTTGGTGCAGCCAAGAGATTCTTTTCAAAAGGCTCGGATTTTGCCCCAGTAAAACATATAACAACTATTAGGACTGTTTGGGGATATATTTTCATCAAGTAACATTGTGTTGGGATTAATTATTTTAAGAGGACCAAGAAAGGCCTTTGTAACTCTGATTTGTCTGAAAAGCAAAAAGGCTACATGATGAAATATAATATAGTCACGATACTTTCAAACATCCTGAAAAAAGGTTGTAAAAAAGCAGATTATAAAATAATGCAATTTCAAGGTTAAAAGAAAGAAATATACTAAAAAATGACTCAAATAGTGAGGCTCTAGGCAACTTTTTGGTGGATTAGAGCTTAGGTACTTTATAAATCTTCTTCTATTATATTTTTATCATTCAGAAAAAAAATGGCATTAAAGAAAATTAGACAGTCTTTTCAGCAAACACAGATCACCTATTTAGCACACTTTTTTTCTTTTGAAAAGAGTTTCATGAATTCTGTAAAGTGACGCCAGCTGGAGCCCTGTGGGCAGAGGCCGGTGCCTGGGGTGCAGCACGAAGGAGAAACAGCCTGAGGGGGCTGTCCGGGGGTGAGGAGAATCTGGGGTGGAGCAGGGGGCGCATGGCAGCACTCACAGAGCTAACAACATCCCTGCTTCGTTGAGAAGCTCTTCAGTGGTGCTTCCTCTTCTTTCTCTGAGGTAGGGGAGACCTTACCTTGCTATTTCATTCTCATTTCAACATGCATTTTCTTACATGCCTGACACTAGAGTCTGCTTCTGTATGTAATTCCAGTCTCCAGGAACCTTTTCTACCTTGTCATCCCTCCTCTGAGCTCAGTGGTAGCACAAAGGCTGGGGTGGAATAACATCTGGCAAACACATAGTAAGAGCCTGATAAGCCAATGTCGAGTAAGTGAATCGATTAAATGAATAAAAGGAAAAAGAAACACCATGGACCCCCTTATAACCTTAGACCTGTTTTGATCAGTTTCCCTGGATAGTTTTGTCATCCTGTTACCTCCATCAGCTACTTTAATCTTGGAAAAAATGAAAATTTGTGTTGACCCAGCTAAAGGTGGGAAGGATGGAGGGTGGGAGCTAGGGATGGGTGGGGAGGGAGGGAGTGGTGGGAGAAAAATGGAGACAACTATACTTGGACAATAAAAATATGGTTCTCTTTAAAAAAGAAAAAGAAAATTTGTGTTGAAACCAGCTGTATAAAAGGGGCACCAAAATTGCCACCCAGTCATTAAAGTGTGTAGAAGTGACATAACTTACGCAACAGAATTTTAATGAGTCCCTAATAAACACTAGGGGGCAACTTAAGGGTGGAAGGACATTTAATAAGCACCTGTTGTGGACCGGTGCTTTATATCTCAGAAAATTTTCATGACAAGTCGATGATGTAACTGTGAATGTCCTTATTTCACAGAGGAGAGTATGGCAATTCAGAGCATTTTGTTGCCTAAAACACCGGTGTACTAAGATGTAGGAAGCTGAGAGGAGCATCGCTTTCACCCTAACAAGAAAAAGATGGACAATCCACGAAGTCATGACGCTTTGAACCCATCTGAGAACTGACATCACAGGGCAACTTTCCAGCCTGAAATTCGAGTGAGGACAGGTGTCTGCAAGGAAAGGTGGGGCCCGAGCACTGCTCCCCTTGTGGCAGACCCTATAGGAAGAGGGGGGTCATACCACTACAGCAGTTAGGAATTCAAGTTGCTAAAGGCCAAGTGTGGGCTAGTGTGAGAACCCAGAAACATGGGATCCACAGACAGAAGGGGACTTGGTAGCTGCTAACAGGATCGTCTCGATGGATTGACGCTGGGTGCTCATGGGAAAGAGGATGGTACATGACATTGGAGAAATGGTCTTGGTGATGCAGGCAGGGAGGAGGGCGAGAACGCCACCTCAGGAAAGGCATCGTTAAGCAGTCTGCTATTCATTGGCAAAGAGGGTTCAGTGGAGTATAGTTGAAAACAGCATTTGTAAAATATATGCTTATTTTATATTTATACAAGCCCAGAATTCCCAATAAGCTGGTTAAATACACTAGTGGATATTTTCAGCTATTAGTATAACCTAGGTCAATCACAAAAGCTATGTATATTAAAATTCCTATCAGCTGTAATTTTAATTTTAGATGTTGGTTTGACCCATAATTAAATTTATAAAGTACACGGATTCTATGTTTTTACTAGTTCCCACAATTGGCCCCTTATCTCACTCAGCTTCCAGCCTGGACGCCCCCTCTGTCCTCTTGCCCTTTCAGTTCATTCTCCCTGCCTCGGCTAGAGGAAGCTTTCAAAAAAATACAAATTCTATTTTTGACTATATATATATATATATATATATATATATAGTCATATATATATATATATCTATCTTTATATATCTTTATATATATATCTTTGACTATATATATATCTTTAATATATATATTAAAGATTTTATTTATTTTTAGAGAGGGAAGGGAGGGGGAGAGAGAGAGAAACATCAATGTGCGGTTGCTGGGGGTCATGGCCTGCAACCCAGGCATGTACCCTGGCTGGGAATCGAACCTGCAACACTTTGGTTTGCAGCCCACGCTCAATCCACTGAGCTACGCCAGCCAGGGCTATTTTTGACTATATTTTTATTGTTTACACTAAAACAGTTGTCCCCATTTCCCTTTTTTCCCACCTTCACCCAGCTGTAGCCTCCTCTGCCGCCTTCCCTCAAGCCATCACCAAACTGTGGTCTGAGTCTCTGGGTTATGCATGTATGTTCCTTGGCTGATTTTGTTGTTCTATGAAGTGAATCCTGTAATTTCAAACGGGCTTCAGAATGGCATGTAGTTTCCTACATCAGATCTGCCCCCTCCCCTTTCCAGCCTGCGGCTAATGCATTTCCCACGATTCTACCAGTGTCTTCACAGGTGGTTGGCTTTTGCTGGAACTCTTACTCTTCTTTCCCCACCTGGCTCACTTCTTACCCATGCTTTAAAACTTGAGCAGACATAAAATTCAAAGAACAACTTAGAGTTCCCAGATAGACAAAGAGATGAACACTAATGTATTTGCCTGTCAGAATGTATTTAAACAGTATACAGGATCCGACCCTCTAAGCCAGCCCACTTCTAATTAAGAAGAGGATCTTCCTGCTCCATCTCTCTCCTCACTTTAGCTAAGCTGGCTTCTCAATTCACTCTGGTCATTTCTTTTTTTTCCAGCTTGGTGACTTACCTATGGCGTCTCAAAGAAATGACATCTGCCTTAGTGAAAGTTTCAAACTAAATTAGAAGGACAGAAATCATGCAGGATGAAGTTGGTTGTCCGGGAACCTCACTTCTCCACAACTCTGTGAATCTGTTAAAAGAGGAAATGGGACTAGATAATGTTTCTGTTAAGAAAACAGGTGAGTAATTCCCCACGTCAAGAACCTAGGCTGGAGGCATGGTTTTTAAGTAGGAGATGACAGGCTGAAAGCTAGGAGTTTGTTTTCTTTTTTTTCCTGTGGGAGATCATCGACACCCTCATCCAAGCTATGTGCTGGAGTTAAGCAAGTCTAGAATTTAAAGTGGTTTGGGCAGTTACCAGTAGAGTTTTCCAATAGTTAACACAAAGGGGTTGGGACCTTTGCTAAAACAAATGACCGATGTCATTTTGGATATTTTCATATGTTGATCTGAATAGACTAGTATGTTGATGGAAGAAATTTTATACTGGATGTCAGTCATTGTCTTGCTAAGAAGGCACATAAAAAGTAGTTATATGTATTTTTAAATGCTGATGTGGTTATATTATTGTTGTATAACCAGAATGTATATGGTCTAAATATCTTATCCTAACAGGTGTAGGCTAGAATACGAAATCATAATTATTGAACTGAATCCACTCTGGGGTAGATGTATCATAGTTAACTTAGCATTAGTTAAGTCCAGTATTTCCTGAAATCTGTAACTACAAAAGGCATCAAACAAAGTGCAAAATATTTTTAGAGCTGGGATTGTGAAATTAGTTGCCATGGAGCACAAGAAAAATATGAGACAAACCTACAGATGTTGAGCAACTTGAAATCCAGTGAGCAGCAGAAATACTTTTAACTCTTCCATTTAACTTATGGTTTGAGGTCTCCACCTGTGATGAAATATCTATTGGTAAATCGATATGTTTTGCAACCATGTTTATCTCACCTATATTAAGACTAAATAAGCACAATCTCATAAAGCCATTTCTAATATACATGCCTCTCATTGTGCGACCAAATGGTAATCATTTCAATACAGAACTCAACGGCATTTCGATTTTCACCACTTGAGAAACCAGTTTCTGCAGACCCAGATTCAATGTCGCATTTCCACAATATTAACTATGCAAGCCTAGCCAGGTAGAAGATAGAATATGTGATTTCAGAGAACAGTTTCTGGATGATTCTTCAGGACTTAGCTAAGTTCTTAGACCAGAGTCTAAACTTAAACATAGTCTTTGCAGCTTACAGAGAAAACTTATTAGGAAACAATGGGTCTAGTACCAGTTTATTACAAATAGTGCCACATGCAATATATACTCTAAAAGACCACTGCTTTCCCTGGAGGATTTTCTTCTGCATAAGTAGCAGAGTGGATTTGTACTTGCAGTTCCCACGTAACCCACTCAGGAATGGTCAGGAGTTGAGGTAGAAGTAGTCTTGTTCTCCAAGAGCTGAAATAAGATGATGTGAAAAAAACAAAACAAAACAGTTCACTCAATGTCTTAGCAATGGAAGCTCCATACCTTTATTTCTCTGGCCCTTTTTCTGTAGCCTGCTCATGAGAAACAGACTTCCAACTGGGCAGGAAGATTCTGCAAAACAGGCAGACTCAGAGATTCTGAGGTTTTGTGTTTTCTTTTAAATGATATACTTTAAGTTTGTTTTTCAGAGATTCTACCCCTGGGCAAATTGAATAACCTCTGAAGGTTGGGAATAAAACCAAATTTAAGAATTAGTGATGGTGTTTACTGAACATGTTGGGACTCTGTATTAGCTAATTCTGCCTACAGTTCTACAGTCAAGCTGTACAAATGTTTGATCCCCAGGCTTTTAGTCTTGTGCCAAGCTCATAGTACATGATTCCGAAATGTTTGCCGAAAGTGTTGGATCAGACCTTGGCTCATTCTGTCCATGTCTCACAGTTTGGAACCCGGAGACATCAGGCCTTGGCTTGTGTTGCACTGAAACCGCTTTCGCCAAAATGCCCCTTGGAACAGTGCGATTGGCCGATTCCACCTGGCCCGTGACTCACGTGGAGATAGCCCCTTCTCATCACAAACCCTGGACTTGGCTTTCATCTGTGTCTTGCCCTCTACTTACTATCTTCTAGTTCACCTTTCGATTCTTCCTCTACTTCCTAAACTCTCTCACCCATGCCCTATACAAACTTACCTTTTCAGTCTCTTCCAACACTTATTCCACCATCCTTTTTCCTTAATGCTGTTTTCTTCCACTCCCTGATAGGATAGCTTGCCCCTTTGTCTTCTTTAGTGGCTCTTACTTGCCTTCTTTAGTGACTCATTACTGGGTATTATTTGTAGCATGCTTTGGCAAAATTGGTGGTGGCAATGAGGGGTGACAGGAAGGCAAATATTCTTGTTGCCGATCATTGCTGGCAAATAGTTCCCTATCTTTTCTCACTAAAACACACATTATTTGAGGCTCTTGCCATTTGGCTAGCCTCCCTTTCACACTCCCCATGATCATCATTTTTCAGTTCCTGACCATTTTTATTTGACATCTGTTCAGTCCTTTTCTCTGCTCAGTTTCTGCCACCTCATAATTCTTTGTTTTAATGCCAGTGGCCATCACGGCATGTAGTCAGTGGTCACTCAGCCTCCAATAACCCACAGGCCCTGCCTTTGAGAGAACCCCTCCCCAATAAAAGTTTACCCACCAATTTTATACTCCAACCACAAACACCTCCTTTTCTGGATATCTCATTTTCTGATTTCCAGTATACCTGTTCTTGGAACTTGGAACCACTAACAACAGCCTTGTTTTCCCCAGTAATGCAACATCCTTCAGGCATTATTACTTCCTGCCTTCCTCTTCTAGGACAGTGCCCTTGCTTTAAGCATAACCGGATCCCTCCTTTTCTTCATTGTCCTTCCGGAAAGCCACAGGTGAGGTCACACAATCTGTCTTCTGCACTCCTCCCCTGCAATGAGTGTTCTTGGGGAAAAGCCCATGACCATGCATATTGAGATTACCAAGTTCACAAGTCTTAGTCCCATCCAGATCCGCCCAGTGCGTGTTGAGGTGTCTTTGGGATATACAAGAAAAGACATTGAATGGAGGCCAGATGTATAGAATCCAGAGAAAGGTCTGGGCAGTGGGTAATGGTTTTGGAATTACATTCTCCACTAGATTTTTCTCCTCCACTGCTTTCTTCTCATAAGCGAACAGTGCCACCTATATGAGGTCTCCTGGCCATTATGTATTCCCTGCCTCGTGTTGTAAGGAACTATAAATGGCCAATAAACATCTCATCCTAATACACTGAGCCTCATTAATTAACATGGAAATCCAGGTTGAAGCCACACTGAGATAGTTTATATTCACTAGATTGGAAAACATTTGTTATTATTTACTTGTTCTTTTAAATATTTATTTATTTAATTTTAGAGACAGAGGAAGGGAGGGAGAGAAACATCAGTGTGCCAGAGGCACATTGATCTGTTGCCTCTCGTACACCTCCAGCCAGAGACCTGGCTTGCAACCCGCATGTGTGCCCTGACTGGGAATCGAACCAGGGACCTTCTGGTTCACAGGCTGGCATTCAAGTCACTGAGCCACACCAGCCAGGGTGAAAACATTTTTTAAAAGTCTGAAAATTTCAAGCATTGACAGTGATCAAGAAAAATGGTCACTCTCATACACAACTTGTAGGGATGCAGACCAGTATAAACACTTAGGAAAATATTTTAGCATTTTCCAACAAATTTGAAATATGCGTGCCCTGTAATATGGCAAGTTCTCTCTCTCTTCCAATAGATATAGATATACGTGTCTATATCTCCCTATCTCTCTCTCTATCTCTACCTCTATCTCTGTCTCTGTTTCTATCTCTGACTCTATCCATATATAATTGACCATTGAACAACACAGGTTTGAACTACATGAGTAATTTATATGTAGATTTTCTAAAATAAATACTACAAACCTATTTTCTCTCCCTTATGATTTTCTTAATAACATTTTCTTTTCTCAAGCTTATTTTAGTGTAAAGTTCAATATACAGTACATATAAAATACAAAAATGTATTAATTGACTATGTTATCAGTAAGGCTTCCAGTCAATGGTAGGCTATTTGTGGTTAAGTTTTGGGGGGATTAAAAAGTTATACCTGGATTTTCGAGTGCACAGGAGTTTGGTGCCCCTAACACTCCCCATTGTTTGAGGGCCAACTGTATATCTCCTAGAGAAGTGCCAGGAAACATGGATGAGATGCTCATAGTAGCAGAGTTTGGAGCAGAAATTTCAAAATAGAAATAAAATAAAGAAATAAATGCAATCCCAGAAGCATACAGTTTAATACCTGTACAACTCATGTTTCTAAAGCTACAAGGATGTGGAGTCTAGCTCTAAAGAAAAACAAGGGAGTGATAACCACATAATTAAAGTTCTGGATATTTCTGGGGATAGAGGGTATTATAGGGACGTGTAAAATGGGCTTCAGTTGTATTACTGACTTCTATGTGTCATCATGGGCCATAGATACACAGTTAGGCATCTGTATTACCAGTTTTTATGTTTCTTATTATTAAATATATTTTTTGATGAATGTCTGGAAATATCCTACAGTGTTAACAAATGTAGTCATTCTTCTACTTCCCCCAACTCATGCCACTGTGTCAAAATGGGCTGCCTGAATCAATCTCTAAAGTGTGGTTTTAAGAAGTAGTTGTAACAATGCCCACAAAGGCCCTAGGCTTCATTTCAATGTAGATTTAGTCTCCATTTTCTGCTGATCCAGACAAAGCAACAGATGTACTGAAATATAGCCATCTACGAGGACACAGGATTGAAAGGTTCTATTAAGTTGGCTGAAACGAGAACTTGGAAACCTTCATTGTAATGAAACATTTTTTGTACAGTAAGTAGATAGAATTCTCAGACTAGAAAAGTGATGCCCAACACTTGGGTGTACTAATTAACTCAAGTTCTCCAAGTCTGTTGGGCGTCATGTATTCACAAATAAGAGATTCTTTAGTAATTATTATAAACTAGTTCTTTACAGACGTTTGTAACCCCAACTAGTAATTTACCCATTAGTCACCCAATATTGATTAAGTTCTTCTAAACTGTGCTGTTGAATACTAACCACTCAGGAAATACACTTTAAAAACTGGCCTGGTCCCTGCCCTCTTAGGAACTGCCAATATATATGCTTAAGAGCAATAGGTTGCACCCAGTGTCCCAGTAGAGCTCACTTGGGACAATAATATATGCGGAGAGAGGATTATAGTTGCAGGACTAAAATAAATAAATGCATAAGGTAGTTAAAGAGGGACCTGTTTTCAGAAAAAGGCGTTGTCAGAAACAAGGACATGCGTCACATGCCAATGGTCCACATTAGTTGGTGAGAATTAGGAAATGACTGTGGCTCATAGGCAGTGGGGTATCACTGGATATCAACTAGATGTATAGCCAAATATAATAACCAAATATTGTAACAGATAACATATGCAGACCAATTTCCTAAAGCACCAATGAAGCATAAAAGTTTGGATGTTCATGTCATATTTGTCAAAAAATGTCAAAAGTTGACATTTCTGGGATTTAAAATTGGCACCGTGACTAGGACATATGGACCAACTTTTCATTTCAGAGGTATTTACAACAGAACACAGAACCACAATCTCTTCAGTTCTTCTGAGGATTCTGAACGATCGCCTCTTCTTGTGCACGTGAGCATCTGTGCATTTTTCTCGGGAACTTACCAGGAGTGGAACTGATAGGTCATAGCATAGGAATGTCTTCGGATTTACTAGATAATGTCAACTGTTTCCTAAATGGTCGTACCTGTTTACACTGCTGCCAGCAGTATATTTATTTGGGACTTCACTAATGATTCACTTAATAAAGTTTCACAATTTTTCCAGTAAAAGTATTACATGTCTCTTGGTAGGTTTATTGCTAGATACTTGAAAATTTCCAGGAATATCTCTTTAAGTTTTAGTTTTCTGAATATTTGTTGTCGGTGTATAAATATTGTTAATTTTGTATCTGCTAATCTGGCTAAACTGTGACTCATTCCAATAGTTGGCTTGTGAGTTCTTTGGATTTCTGTGTTTATACTTATATGCAAATAGGAACGGTTTAGCATCTTCATATTATTAACTTCTTATTTTACTGCCCTGGACAGGAACTTCAGCACAACCCTGAGGACCAGGCGTCATCATGGACATTCTCGTCCTGTCATCTTCCCTTTTTACATCTCAACCCTTTCCACTGAGACTTCTTTCCTTTTGCTCTTTTGCATTTCTTTTTGTAAGTGTCTGTTGATGGTGACTTCGGATAATCTCATTTGAACTTTTTATTGATATACAATTTTGCAGAGCATAGAATTCTATACTTGCCAGTAATTGCTTTTTCAGTACACTGAAGACCATTTCCACTGCCTTCTGATTTTTTCACTTGTGATTTAGAGAGGTCATGTCCTTCTAATAAAGTGCAGTAGGCTATACTGAAAACAAGATAGGAAGCCAGGTTCCTAATACTAACTTTTTAAGGTACCTTTCCTCATTATTTGCTACTCAAACATTTACACCACCACTGAGAAATTTAGAATTATAATTTGAAGGTCACAAGTTATCCTGCCATTACAAAAGAATGGGCTCAGATGCCGTTGGAACGACACTGGGTTCATGAGATGGGATTTGTTTTGGCCACAAGGGAAAAAAGGAAGAGAAAGGAAGGAAAGAAGGAAGGAAGGAATTAGCCATTAACAGTGACTTAAAGCATATTTAGTATTGGCTTAATTAGTACAGAGGTTCCAAATTCAGTTACATAACATTTCACGAACACACCTATTACACACAAGAAAACATACCTTCTCTTCGATTAGAGTACGTGTAAGTTTATTGATATTTTGGAAGTTCTTGTCGCTAAGCACCCCAGCCAAAGTTGTTAGCCTATGGGAAATGTGTGACTAAGAAGAAAAAGTCATCTTTTCCCCTCTATGCTATATTGCCTGTCACTTTGCCAAAGGGTTGGATAGCATCAGCTGTCAGACTGATTGGAAACCCCGCCTCATTTTGCATGCTGTATCATGTACGCCTCCCTCTGAAAGAAGTGGAAAGGAACCAAAGACATTCTTTCCTTTCCAGCCCCCGATCATTTAAAAGATTAGGAGTCTCCAGAAACAGTGACAATTACTACATGACCTAAATCAAGATATTACGTGCTAAAAAGCAGGCAAGGTTTACTGTGGATGATCCTTGATTTATACAATGAAGAGCTACTGAAGCATACTTACATCTTACTTTTACTTTTTACTCTAGCTAAAGCCATTGTAATGTTTTTCTCCTTGTTTAATTCCATGTAGCTACTGACTTAAATAGTGCAGTGGATTTTAATCACCGCCCATCTAAATTTATCATGATCCACTAAGCTCAATATTGTCTTATTTTTGGACAGTTCTGAACTTAGTCATCACTGTAATCCCCGTGCTTAGTCACAGAACTCTGTAATATTTATAATTAAGGAGTGGCTTTGTGGGCTTTTTTCAGAAGCAAAAATTAAATTCCTGACCAGTTAGAAATCAAGTTTCCGGGATTTTAAATAAGTTTTGTGAAATGAAGAGGGCAAGCGTTCCCATCTGCTCAGAATCCTAGAGTTGTTCTTACAGTTCAGAAACTTTTCTACATGACATTTTTTTGAAGGGAGCAAATTTTTTTCTGTTTACTTCTCCCCAACTAGCATAAATTTGTACTTTGGGGTTGAGTATGGAAATTTTTCTCAGGGAATAGGAGTCAGTTAGTTTACATAATCTGGACTGAATATATGTACAGTTATTTAACATAAATTCAGTATTTCCTAACTTCTAATCCACAGAGTGAGTGCAGACAACTCTAGAGTTGTGTTTGGGATCCCAGCACTCTCAGAGCGGAAGGGAAACCACTGCAGCACGCTATGGATACTGAAGAAAACTCGGCTGAGCTGGTGAGTAAACACTCTTTAATCCTTTCATGTTGAATATTCTTGCTTTTGACCTTTTTAAAAATTATTTTATTGTTGTTCAGTTACACTTGTCTGCGTTTACCCCCACCATTCTCCTCCCCACCCCAGCCTTGCTTTTGACTTTTAACATTTAACCCTTCCACAAAATTAATTGCATTTTTTGATGTTTGTTCCTACAGGATGAGTAGAGTCTGAGATTTTATTATCAGTAATCATAAGTGTTGAGAGAGTTATTTAATTTGCCAAATACTGCTTGCATGTCATTGGGGGGTTTTGCATTAGATGTTTTGCTTAAATTTTGACATTTATGTCAGAAACCTATAATAAGGTACCAGTAGACAAAATTTGAGTAGATGATTTGAAATGTGTGTTTATAGCAATTATTAACAATATTATTTATATCTGTGCATATTTTCATTCAATGAAAATGTTTATTCTCTTTGGCCTACTTGTATTTAAACTGGTGATTTGTGAAAAATGTCCTATGGCAGAAGAACTTATGCTTAAAATGTGTTATTCTAGTAATGTAAAAATTCTATTAAAACATTTAAAGGGTCTCACTCACCATTCAAACAAATCCCTTTATTTTACAAATGAGGCTATGAAAATATTAGAAGTCCAACTAGCCAGCAGCAGAACCAGCAGCTGAACTCAAGTTTCTCACATAACAATCATTTCATTACTTTTCAAAATCCCTGACAACTATGTTCCTAACAAAGAAAAATAAGTTTTATAATTAACCTGAGGTTGTAGAACCAAGTGACAAGTCAAACAAGATAAATACAAAGATAGGATTTGACATCGGAATTGCTTTACAACTTGAAGGTTGTATTTTTGGTCAGTTCGAGGATTCATTAACTATACCCCCATAACATTAATTCATAGGATGCCCCATGTGTCAAAGAAGCTGGAAAATGTCATTGCTTTAATATCTTCTGTGCATCATTTTGTCTCTATTTCATAATATAGTAAATATGAATGTGGTATGTTTCCATATACAGAAAACATTTGTGAAATTTATCCCATGAAGTCAAATAATTAGTTAATTGTGCTAAAAAAATACAAACAGTAAAATCAACTTCTAAGACTAAAAAAAGGAATACTTAGAATTTTCCATTTTTAGTAATCTGATGACAATCTCTTAGATCCCCCCAAACAAGGGACACAAGATATTTTCTATGACTTTATAATTATTCTATGACTTTATTTTAGAACATTTAGAAAATGTAGAAAATTACAGAGAAAAATAGTTACCTATGATTCATCCTAAAGAAAATTACTGCTAATATTTTGCTTCTTTTATCCTCCCACCCCAATCTAATGTAATTTTATTGTTTTAGATGATTTATTTTACCGTATGAATTTTCTGTCAATTTACTTATTTCTTTTCCTCTAAAATTTTTTGTAAAGGTCTTAATTATTAAAATTCAGGGAACCAAGAGCTTATGCTACTGAAAACTTTTATAAGAGGACATTTATTTAAGTTGTGTTTTTGTTCTTCAGTAAAGTTTCATGCTTTTCTTTATATCAGTCTTATGGCATTTTGTATGCTTAACCATTTCATGTGCTATATTACTACTGCAAATAGTTCTAATACACACACACATACACAAAACAAGTTCTGTTACCTATAATTTTCATATTTTAACAACCAGCTAACTTAGTGAGTTATTATTTTTGATAGATTACATGGGATTTTGTTTGGACACAATCATATCACGTGCAAACAATGTTAGTTTTACCTTCACATTTCCATTATTGATACATATTGATGAGAACATCTGAAAAATTACCTCATATTGGTTGTCAGAGACATTCGTCATCTCTGGCTGTAAAGGAAGGTGTCTGACATGTCGCTGTCACCATAATCCTGGCCATTGGTTTGAAGTCAGTATTTCTTGTCGTAACAAAACTATTCTTTTATTTTTATTTCTTTGAGATTTGTATTGTTTGTTTGCTTGTGTCAGGGCTGAGTACTGAAATTTGTTAAATGATCCTTGGGCACCTACTGAAATGATCATTTCAGTAGACCATTTATTTTTCTTCTCTGATCATTTGATGGGAAAAATGCATTTTATAATTTAGATCATGAACCCATTTTTAGAGTTTCAGATTCTCCTAGAATTGGATAGTTCTTTATTTAATATATGGTGGAGTCACGTAATTTTTCCTATATTTTATGCATTTATGTTTCTGGATAACCTAAACTTTCTTTAGCCTTAAAAACCAGGGTCATTTGTTTTAAATTCTTTCTCTGCAGTTACCCAGAAATCCCTACTGTTCCAATGAGAGATCACACTGCAGCTGTAGATTGCCTCATGTGACCTTCCAGCCACAATGGGTAAGGTTTGAGAACTGGGGTTGGGGGGGGCATGGGGAGTCCTCAGGAGTCCTTTGGGACAATGAAAACATGGGACACGCAAGCCCTGCCTCACAGCCCCTCTGCAGGACTCTGCTCTCCTTTAACCCTTCACTTGCCACTCATCTGTTGGCTAGTCTACACTTCTTCCCAGCTGCCACTCCATGAACTCTGGGCGAAACCTAGAGCCCACAGCTCCCAGCCACTTATCACTGTTGTATTCTGTTCCTTTAAGATCCCCTCCATACCAGAGATGTTCTATTTTGCTGTCTTTCTAAGCTCAGTGAAAGTCCTTTTATTTATGTTTAACAGATAAAAATGTATTTAATAAATACCCTTCTAATGATAAACTCTCAATACATAATGTTAAAACAGGAAATAATGATAAACAAAAAAATACTGGCAATTTTTCATTACCCAAAGATAATCAATACAAATGTTTTGATATGTCTATTCATTATTCTTCTGCCCATGAGGACTAATCAGATAATTTAATTTATGCTGCAATGTCAGTAGCCAGTAATAACCTAACAAATATATCCCTGAGGCAATTTACTTGCCTTTGTAATGACACCTTATTGCTTTAGTATGAAAGGGTAACTAGGAGGAGACATTACGTTCTCATGGAATGTGGGCAAGGGGTGTGTATGTATGTGTGTATGTTGGGGAATGTGCTGTTTGAAAGAGAGAGAGACAGAGTGAGGGTGGTTGATAAATTGTGCTTTAAATTACAGCATTTGAAGTAATGGGAAATGTTAGCTTTATTCTAGTTGTAAGCATTTCCCTAAGTTACCACTATGTAATTTGCTGAAATATCCCCTTATGTTAAGCCTTTGCAGGTTGCCGCAAAACCATGGTCACTCTGGAAAACATTTCTGGTGTGTCTGCTGGCCTGTCTGATTGCTGTGGCCCTCGTTGTTCTGGTCGTGTATTTTGTTCACCTTGGCAAGCCCATCTTCATCATTCATGCAGACGGGAAGGCCTATCATGTGGCCTGCACCTCTGGCTCTAGCCCATCTCCTGCCGCAGTTCCTACCCCATGTCCTACCCCATCTCCTGCCCCATGTCCTACCCCATCTCCTGCTGCATTTCCTACTTCATCTCCTGCCCCATCTACACTTCACGGATCTCAGAGCACCCTACCTTCTACCTCTGTGACCAACCAAAGCTCTTCCACCACGGTGCGTCCATCTGCCATGGGGACCGCACCAGAACACGAAGTCCTCATTGAAGAAGAAGAAGGAGGACATCCTTGAGCCCTCCGCCCTCCTCAAGCCAGGTCAACACTCTTATGCTGAAGGAGGCTCGTCTAAGCTAATCTGTCCTCCCTGACAAGAGATTCCAAAGCATTTGACTTCATGAGATCTTGCCCCTCTTGCTCAGTCACTGGCTGGATTCCCATATGGTGACGACTCAGTCTCGGGACTGGCAATGTTCAAATGATCAGAAAAGAAAAATTTCAGCTCTGCCTGGTTAACTCATCTAGACAGGGTCCAGAGTTTTCTCTTGACCCCTTTCATACAACTGGCCTCGGTTATCACCCATGAAGTTTTAGCTGCAGCAGAGGCTGTCATGTGGATCCTGCTCTACTTAAGCTAGTATGTGTCGTTTGTTATTGATTATTTCCCAGTCTATCTTCAGCATTTTTATCCCAACTGAGAAAAAGAAAAATGTTCAAGCAAAGTGATTATTGCTCACTGATTATTAAATACCTATGGATCATTATGTAAGTGTTCTTCTTATTGGGGGATGGAGAAAAGAAGGGGAGATCACTGAGGACAGGAATAATCAAGGGAGATTTTAGAGAAGGGCTGACGGTTGAAGAAGGGTGAAAATTTGGATTTAGGTAGAGGTCATTAAAACAGAAAATGATAGGGCTAAGGGGGTTTAATAGATTTAAAAGGAAAAGTACACTTAGAAACACTTTAAATGTCCAAGTGATGTATTTTTATATCTGCACCTTTTTCACTGACATTATCAATATTATTTTCCATATTTGATATGCTGCTTAATCTCTAAACCACTATAAACTACATTTATAAAATATGAACATTTAAATTGTGTCATACTTTGTACCGTAAATTTGAGAGCACATGCTTATCATTTGTTGTGAAATACAGACTCTTGTCCATTATTACTTATAGTCTAAGTGTTTGGTACTTAGTAAAAGCGTGAACATTTCAATCTGGAAAAGACTTCAGAATAAAGTCATCCGCCCATTCCCCTCTCCCCATCCTCCAAACTCCACAAGGGTAGTAAGTGTGAATGAATTTTTTTCCAGTATGGTAGTGAATCAATTCATTTCTCTTATAATTTTGTCTTCATTACTTGTGGAAAAGAAAGATTCAATTTATTAGGTTAAAATGTGCTTCCTTAGATAATTTAAACCTTGTTATGTGATTTAAAAGAAGAGCTTTCAATAAAAGATTAATTTACTGCTAATTTTTTTTAAGTTTTGTATTCTAGCTGCTGTTTTCTTCCTTTACTCTTAGGAAATACAGAAGGCAGTGTGATAATACAGGAAGGATAATTTCTTTGTGTTTAAGGAGAACCTTCTCTTAGCAATGAAATTCCTACATTGAGTATTTGGTTGGAGGACATTGTAACTGAGGTCGTTAAAGTTCTGTGCTTTGTAGAGCAGAGATGTGCATTAGCTCACAGATTCTTTCATTGCTCTGGACTTCCACGGTTCAATAAAATAGTAAAAAATAGTAAACAGATTTGTGGGAAATATTTTCACAAGTTAAAGTATCTAACAAAAATTGTACAAAGCACTATGAAAATATTAAGTGATGTGTGCCTGTCCAATAAATAAATACCCAGTTTTAATTATTTGTTTAGCAAATATCGAAGCCATACATGCTCTAACATTATTGTTTCAGAAATGTATTCACCGCACCTACATGACAGGAATATATTTTACATCAGGGAGCTTCTCTATTTAAAATGTCTTCTACAAGCACTTTGGGGACTCCATCATTTTGCTCCTAAATTCCAAGTGATTCATGTGGCATTAAAATGTCAAGTTTTCAAATACACTTTACCAAATAACTGTGTATAACTCACTTCTTTGGATGCCTTATTAAAAAGGGAATCCAAAGAAGTGCATTTACCTGTACAGATAGAAGTTCCATGTATCTACACAGAAAATATGCTGCAATAGGTAGCCCTACTCTGTGACGACACTCGCAAATATTTGGGGGAACCCGTTCAGAAGGCACACTGTTTAAGCCATTCGCTTTGATTTTGTGTGGTTTCCAAAGCTTTTTGAGCTTTGGCAGCATCTTTGTAACACATGATCTGTGAATTTTCGCCTGCTTCATCTTTAGTTCTTCAGCAACCTCCTCAGCTTCTTCTTAAGACGCCTGGGAATGATGGGCTTCGATGTCAGTGTCACCATCAAGGCAAACATGTTTCCACTTTGTCCCTAGCTCACTGTTGTCATGACACCCTGAGAGCATTTTCAAAGTTTGGTAGAAGTCCCTCTTTGTCCTTCAAAGTGCTCCCTGCCATCAAACGGTTTCTTTCTAAAATCACATGCAGCGTTCATGATTTTTCCCCACTGGGACTTTAATTTTTTTTTAATTAGATTTTCTACTTACGTTTCCTCCTCATATTTTTTTAATGATATTTTAATACCCAACTGGACAGGATGAGTTTTACAATGTCCGTAATGTGCCTCAAGGCAAACGCAAACAAAATAAACACGTGGTAGTAGATTAACAACAAAAAGGAGCAGTGGGCGTAATTGTGCACAGGGGCGGGATGTCACCGAGATAACGGCCTAGGAGACGGCAGCCTCACTGCACCGCCCCTCCCCCCACCTATATCAACAATCAGAAAGCTACTGATGAATGAAGCAGCTCTGGGAGAGCTGTGGAGTCTGCTTAAGACACTTCAACAACCGCAGAACACACACACACACACCCAGAATAATTGCAAATAAAGAGAAGGAAGACCGCTTCATTTTGTCTGAATCATCCCGTCTCCCACGCAGGCATTGTTCAGCACCAAGAGGGATTGTCCCAGCTAGAAAGAGTTCTGCTTGCCAGGAAAAGATGAGCGGGGTGAGCAACCAGCCTGCCCAGCCCTTCAGTGCACCGCACAAAGATTTCCTGCTTTGACTTTGCCCCACCCAGACTGGCAAAGCTGAGACATGCAGAGATGGCGAAGATCAGCGCAGAAAGGCAGGGGCTACCGGTGGCGGCCCTGCAGCTGGAGTCATCCCTGTTCTACACATAAATCCAGCGGCTTTTGCCACTGAAGAAGGAACCAATGGCCAGCATAGCAGCAGATTTCACCAGGTTTTACTCCTCCCGAGTACTTGTGTTTGCTGCCACCAGCTGCCACAGTCCCTCCCCACTCTTTTCCATCCCTGCCCCCACTGGACCCTGGTAACTGCGTGGGCAGCCAGCCCAAACCACTAGGCTGCAAAGTGTGAGATACAGGCACAGACCCTCACAGCGGATGCCCACCACCGTGTGCATGCATGGGAATAGCCGCCCCAGCTGTGCCCCTGTGCTCTGCAGGCCTGCCGCCTGCCACAGGTGTCCAACGTTGTGTCGTATCTGGGGAAGATGGGATAGCCACAAGAGAGCAGGTGACAGCCAAGGGTCCACTGCTGCTTGTGGGCTCAGATCAGGACCTGTCTCTGTCACTGGCCTGCACTGCTGTGCTTACCCTGAGCTAGCCACTCGAGCTGTGCACTGAGGCCCCCAGCCCAACTCATCAAGAGCTTCCACTGTTGTGTACTTGTAGTGAAATACAGCAGCCTAAGTAGTGCACACTGCCAGTCAGGACCCCCACAGCTGCCTTTGGGCCTGCAGTTAGCCCTGGCCCGCACCACGGTGTGTGTGTTGGTGAAAGGCCCCTGCCACCACACAGGCACCTGAAGCTGGCCCCGCAGCCAAGGGTGGTACACTACTATCATTGACCACGACTGTGGGGTCCCTCGTCACTGGACCTGGAGGTGCTGCTGAAGACCCCAACAGTCCTTGAAGCCACCACAGGCTCCTCACTGTGCTGGTCAAGGACCACGTGGCTGTCAAAGTTGGGGGCTCTGTATGTCTTCTTGGACTCATTGCCACACTTGTGTCCTACACCACCAGACTTGGTTTTCTAGGTGTTGCAACATGCCCGCACCCCAACATAGGAGTACCCCTGAGCTGAAGTCAGTTCATACAGCCTGGGGAGGTGATTCCTTCTTCAAATGTGCAGACAGACACCCACGTGAGGCTACACGGTTGTGGGGAATCAGAGAAACATTAACCCACTGAAGGAACACAGTGCACTTCCAGCAGCTGGTGGAAAATGAATGCATTTCCAGGAATTACCCAACAAAAAAAATCTAGATAATTGTTATGAGGATTCTCAGAGAGCTACAAGTGAACACAGATAAACACTTTAAAAATATCAGGAAAACAATATATGAGAAGTTCAACAAAGTGGCAGAAAACATAAAATAAGAACCAAACAGAAATTTTGGGGCTGAAGAATTCAATGACTGAATTAAAGAACTCAGTAGAGAGCTTCAGTAATAGACTTGGCCAAGCAGAACAAAGAACTGGGAACCCTAAAGAGAGATTAATGATACTCTCCAACAGGAAAAAAAAAACACACACAAAAAAAACAGTGAAAAAAATCTGTGTAATCTATGGGATAAGTCAAAACAATCAGTTTAAAATTTACTACAGTTCCAGAAAGAGGAGAAAGGAAAAAGAGGACAGAAAATTCATTTAAAGAAAGAATGGCTGAGAACTTCCCAAATCTGGAAGATATTCAGGCATCAAAGTTCATGAAACTCACGTTTCACTAAAGAAACTCAAATAAAAAGGATCCTCTTCAAGACACCCTATAATGAAACTGTCAAAAAAAGATAAAAAGAGCCTTAATCTTTTCATTTCAGCTTAAAGACTCAGCATTTCTGGTAACGAAAGTCTAGTGGTGATGAATTAACTTGGCTTTTGATTGTCTGGGAAAGTCTTTATCTCTCCTTTTATGAGGCCAGAATTATGCTAATACCAGAGCTGGATAAGGACACTATAAGGAAACACAACTATAGGCCAATATCCTTAATTAGTAAATATGCAAAAATTCTCAACAAAATATTAGCAAACCAAATGCAACAGCACATTAAGAAGGTCATAAACCATGGTCAAACTAAAAAGTTTCTGAACAGCAAAGGAAACCATCAACAAAATGAAAATACAACCTGAGAATGGGAGAAAATATTTGCAAATCAAATATCTGGTAAGGGGTTAATATCCAAAGCATATAAAGAACTCAAACAACAGGAAAAAAGAGTCTGATTAAAACATAGGCCGATGAACTGAATAAACATTCTTCTCAGCGAAGACATACGAATGGCCAACAGGTCCACGAAAGGTACTCATCATCAGGGACAAACCGAAACCACGAGATGTCACCCCACACTTGTAAGAATGGCTATGTTCAAAAAGACAAGAGATAAGTGTTGGTGAGCGTGTGAAGAAAAGGAAACCCTTGTGCACTATATATGGAAACGTGAGTTGGTGCAGCCATTATGGAAAACTGCATATAGCAGCTGTCCCCAATCTTTTTGGCACTAGGGACCAGTTTTGTGGAAGACAGTTTTTCCATGGACGGGGGTGGCAGGAGGAGACAAGAGGCGGCGCTCAGGCAGTAATGCAAGCGAAGCTTCACCGGCTCTCCTGTCCGCCACTCACCTCCTGCTGTGTGGCCCAGTTCTTTTCTTTAAAGTATATTTTATTGATTATGCTATTACAGTTGTCCCATTTTTTTCTCCCCTTTATTCCCCTCCACTCTGCACATTGACCGGTACCAGTCCGTGGCCTGGGGGTTGGGGACCCCAGTATATAGGATCCTCAAGAAATTAAAACTATGATAGAGCAATCACACTTCTGGGTGTACACTGGAAAGAGACGATAACAGAATCTGGAAGAAATATCTGCGTTCCCATGTTCATTGCAGTGCTATTCCCAATGCCAAGATATGAGAACAGCCTGAGTATCTGTCAAAGATGAATGACTGAAGAAGGCATTATATAAATATGCACACAGACATACCTGTCCAGAAGGTATCCAACCATGTAATATGAAAAATAGAGACATTTATCAAGGAAGATACGATACAAGGAGCATTGTACATAGGACAATGATGCCTCAGTCCCCTTCAAAGTAGGCACCTTGATACCTTGTACAGTTGTCCCAATTCTCATCACTGTCCCATCATACTTTCCTGACTGTCATTGATGGTCTGAAATCTCTTCCCCTTCAAAGGTGATTTTAGTTTTGGGAAAAGCCAGATGTTGTGGAGTGCCAAACCTGGGCTGAGTTAGGCAGGCTGGGTGATCTGATGTTTTGCCAAAAAACTCTGGATGAGACGTGATACATGAGTGGGCACATTGTTACGATGAAGCTGCCAATCACCAGTTGCCCATAGCTGCAGCCTTCCAAATCATCCGGAATTTTCCATGGAGGAGTTTTCAAGCTGAATGCAAAAACTGATGCAAATTCGTTGTGTTCTACTGGCTCAGTCATTTTGAATGTGACAGCCACACAGTACACATGCTCACTCAACAGCATCTGCGCCCCCAATGACCAGTACAGTGAAGTTGTCATTGTTCACACGTGCACATTCCAGACATCTCTCCCTGGCTGCCAGGTTATGTCAATGTTGCATGAACCATTTTTGTAATGTTAACAATGGCTGGACTTTTTCCAGATGGATTTATATAATATACACTATATATATGTATATACATATATACATACATACATGGTGGGGCAAAAGTAGGTTTACAGTTGTT